ATGCTCCAGATGCTCCAGGTGGTATTATGACTTTTTTATTATTATTATTATTATTATTATTATTATTATCATCATTGGCTTGTATTCATTCAGAAATATATCAGGAGATTCTGTACAGTGAAGTTAATGCTTCATTTCCATGCAAATCCATTAGACCCATTTGAACATGATTAACGAAGCATCTTTGCAGATTTTCTTGGCGTTCGTTGCCTCTCACACACAGACACTCACACACACACACACTCTCACACACACACACAGACACTCACACACACACCGCGTCAGCTGACAGACACTAACGGAGCGTGACCGTTGACCCCGCAGGTCATCCACTGCAGCGGCTATCTGAAGACGTCTGCGCTGGACTGCTATCAGAACGTGGGTCTGGTGGCGGTGGGACACACTTTACCTCCCAGCGCCGTCACCGACATCAAGCTTCACAGCAACATGTTCATGTTCAGAGCCAGTCTAGACATGAAGCTCATCTTCCTCGACTCCAGGTGAGATATGACCCATGCATGCGTTTCTGCTTTTAACTTCGATGATATTATCACCAGTGTTGGGGAGTAACTAGTTAATAAGTAATAGTGTGTCTTTAGCAACAAGCACTATGATACATGCATAGGATGACTGTTATTTCAGTTTCATCTAGGTTTATTGTATCTGTCCCTAACAAATAAAACATTAAATAAACAAATAAAGCATGACTGTTATTATAGATGCTCCACTGATTCAGGGCTGTTCTGTGCTCTAAGGGTTTCAGAGCTGACAGGATATGAGCCACAGGACCTGATTGAGAAGACTATCATCACGGACTTTATTATTATTATTATTATTATTATTATTATTATTATTATTATTATTATTATTATTATTATTATTATTATTATTATTATTATTATTATTATTATTATTATTATTATTATTATTATTATTATTATTATTATTATTATTATTATTATTATTATTATTATTATTATTATTATTATTATTATTATTATTATTATTATTATTATTATTATTATTATTATTATCATCATTGGCTTGTATTCATTCAGAAATATATCAGGAGATTCTGTACAGTGAAGTTAATGCTTAATTTCCATGCAAATCCATTAGACCCATTTGAACATGATTAACGAAGCATCTTTGCAGATTTTCTTGGCGTTCGTTGCTTTCTGTCGTGATCTGTCTGATGTTCTCTGATCTGCAGACGTTAGACGGCTTTATATTCGTGGTGGCTGCCGACGGGAAGATCATGTACATCTCAGAGACGGCGTCGGTTCATCTGGGCCTTTCACAGGTGAAGCACTGACTAACAGCTGCTGTGTTTGTGCTCGTGTTCCTCCAGTGCAATCACACACGTGCTTTCACACAGGTAGAGCTGACTGGGAACAGTATTTATGAGTACGTTCATCCGGCCGATCACGACGAGATGACCGCGGTTCTGACGCCTCAGCCCTCGTTCCACTCGCACCTCATCCACGGTGAGACGCAAGATCAGCATCCAACACGAGCACATGCATGCCATTTTCAGAGTAATTCTCATGCGTTTCTAATGTAGGCTGGAAAAAATTATTTTTACAAGTTGTAAACTGAAAGGGTGGAACATTAAAAACATAATTAGAACAAAAAACTGAAATTAAATTATACACTTTGATACAAAATATATAAAAATTACTATATATACATATATATATATAGAGAGAGAGAGAGAGAGTGTGTGGTTTTGTTGAAATATTGCATCTGGTGGTGATGACGGTGGGCAGACCCCTATGAGAATCAGACTTTGACTGTATAGACATAGGAAAATGTATGCACTGAAGTGGATGCACTTGATATACCATGTGAAGGACACAACGAGGCTCAGTTATCTGAGAGCGTTAGGTTCAAACCTCTCGTTCTCCTCCTTGCTCCTCTCTGAATAGGATTTATTTTGCAATGAATTAATAAATATCCTTTGAGACTCTTCTGTATGATTCTGCCTCCCGCTGAGAAGGACGTGGGTCTGGTGGCGGTGGGACACACTTTACCTCCCAGCGCCGTCACCGACATCAAGCTTCACAGCAACATGTTCATGTTCAGAGCCAGTCTAGACATGAAGCTCATCTTCCTCGACTCCAGGTGAGATATGACCCATGCATGCGTTTCTGCTTTTAACTTCGATGATATTATCACCAGTGTTGGGGAGTAACTAGTTAATAAGTAATAGTGTGTCTTTAGCAACAAGCACTATGATACATGCATAGGATGACTGTTATTTCAGTTTCATCTAGGTTTATTGTATCTGTCCCTAACAAATAAAACATTAAATAAACAAATAAAGCATGACTGTTATTATAGATGCTCCACTGATTCAGGGCTGTTCTGTGCTCTAAGGGTTTCAGAGCTGACAGGATATGAGCCACAGGACCTGATTGAGAAGACCCTGTATCATCACGTGCACAGCTGTGACAGCTTTCACCTGCGCTGCGCTCATCACCTCCGTGAGTCCAGATCATATCAGTATTCATCCTAAAGAGAGGAATCCAAAGTCCTGAATCTTGTAGCTTTATACTGAAAATGTGTAAAAGTAATGTAAAGTGTTTGTACTGTTATTTATTTGTCATGTAAAGAAAAAAACAAAAATATTATATATATATATATATATATACACCTATATACAGTATATTGTAAAGTAAACCTATACTATATATACAAACCGCAATTGATCTAAAATCTGCTTTTCAAGTTTTGTAAATAAAACAAAGATTACTGTAATACATTTTCAAGTAATAATTTGAGTCTTTAAACTAATTATTTTCAACGTAATTGTAATAGTATGGGAACATTTAAATTAAAACATAATTAGGACTGTTTTGGGCACAAAAAATTGCAAAAAGTTTTAAAATTAAATTATGAATACAAAAAAATATGATACAAAATACATAAATATAAAAAAATTATAAAGAATGTTTATAGATACAAAGATTATTTTGAAGTATGTTGTAAACCACGGCTTCACGGGGATTACTCTGTATTCAGAACAAAACAAGAATGAAAAATATAAGTTGCTAAACAAGCCAAAACGAATGAAAGAAAGCAAACGCCTTTGTTCTCACGCAGCCTTCCTCTATTATTTGGCACGAATCCAAATGTTTCTATATTCACGATGTATTTGAATGCTAAACTATTATTTCGTAGAACAGCTTCGAACGCAGCTCAGCCAATCAGAATCAAGCACCGGAACTAGCCGGTTTATAAATTAAGATAGAAAATATATAAATAAAAAATACAATTATATAATTGGAGTATCTTATTTACATAACACAATAATTATTTTAGTCATTCTGCTTCAAAATTTCACTTTAATTCAGTGTGTTACTTGCCATTTCTTTATTTTTTGTTTTACTAGCAGTTTCTGGATAAAAATTATTTCAATGCCAATTTTTTTTCAGTGTATAAAAAGAAAACACCAGGTTAATCTGACAAAAATATGACTAAATTAGCATTATTTTCATGCATATAAGCCCGACTGATGACTGCGATGTGAATTTTGCAGAACATGAAGTGGAGCGCTCGTTCTTCTTGAGAATGAAGTGTGTTTTGGCCAAACGTAACGCCGGGCTGACGAGCGGAGGATATAAGGTACACACACACACACACACACACACACACACACTCACACACA